GCTTCTTTCCTGTACTCCAACTCAGTAGCTCATTCCGGATAAGCGAGTGAATTTCAAGCTAGGGAAAAATTAAATACTAGTGAATGAAATGTAACGGAGGAAGTACATTAAAAGCTTACATTTTTTTGAATTCTGAAATTCAAACAACTCTTTTTTTAAAAAAAATTTACAAAAATATATTTTTAATTATTAGTTATTTTTATTTATTATACTGTTTGCATAGATTTGAAATGGAGTATATACTTTTTATTTATAAAAGTTTAAAAATTATAGTAATATTTTGAAGAAGAAGATAGGTAATCTAACTGGTCAAAAAAAAATTGGCATCCGTTAACTAGTCCGATCAATTTAGATTCGTATCGCATTAAATTTTATTAAAGAGGAAGTACTCTCAATTTAGATTTCTCCATTTTCAAAGTTTGAACTCGAGAACTTTAATTAAGGATGAAATAATATATTCCATTCTTTCGGCTACACCCCTTGATGTTTCTTTTTTCTTCCTTATATAGGATGGTCAATCTAGGCATTCTCGAGAACTCCAATTAAGGATGGAAGTATGTTATTCATCTGACTACACCCTTTAATATTTCTTTTTTCTTCATTATATAATTAACTCAACATTGAATCAAATGCACCATAAAAAAATTTTATAACATAAATATCAGTGGATATTATTATATATCAAATATATAAAATATAAAAGAAATCATGAATTCACGTGCCCAATATATTGTTACTTGTTAATTCGCCCATTTAGAAGAAACCATGAATACTCTTTATCTTCAACAAACTTTCTTAATGCGATGTAGAACATTCAAGTAGTACTTTTTAGTTTTTATCCAATTTATATAACTCAAAGGGTACGGACCTACTTATACTATTTGTAAATAAAAATTGGAACAATTATGAAAGTAAGATATAATTACTGGTCGTCTGTATGCTGGACAAGTATAAATAGTTTTAGAATAAAAATCTAGTATTGTTTTATTTTGAGTTATTGAATTTCAAGATAAATTATATCAGAATTATTAATTAGTATTGATGTTAAAGAATGACAAAAGTCCCACATCGGTGATTAATGAGATGGGTGAACTCCTTATAAGGTTTGGGCAATCCTCCTCCCTTTGAGCTAGCTTTTGGGGTGTGAGTTAGGCCTAAGACCTAATCTAACAAATAAGTTATTCCTATCGATTAGTTATTTATAGATAAAATAATAAAAATAACAAAAATTATCCCTAAAATCTGTCGAACCTTTTCTCCACTAAATAAGATAGAGATTACTTTTATAAATAAACAATTTTAAAATTATATAATACATATTATCTTTTAATATAAAATCAAATATCAAGAAAATAATACGTAAACATAATTTTTTTCTCCTTAAAGAAGTAAAATTTACTAAATTGACTCTAACATTATGTTTGGACCATTGTTACTTATTGTATTGTATCGTTAACATACCTACAATGTTTGTTTTGATTGTTACTTAAAATGTATTGTATTGTATTGTTAAATTTCGTTGTTACGTACCAATGAAAACTCCCATTTTATGGAACAATCGATTTGGTGTGTTCCCATTGTTACTTAATTTCTTTTTTAAATTATATCCTGACATAATATTTCATAATACTTTTTTACCCTTTACCCTATATTATTTAATTCTAGTCAAACCTCCTACCCTAGAATAATTAAGGATATTTTAGTAAATTTATAAATTACAATACAGTACGATACAGTCAAACCAAACAATAAAAATGTTATTAAACAGCAACAAACAATACAGTCTAGCCAAACCTTGTATCTACCATACAATACAATACAATAGAGTACAATATAATACAATACAATAAATTCTGAAACAATGGATAACAATAATCCAAACAGAATGTAAAATGTGAAATTAAATATGTTAGGTATCTTTTAATAGATGGAGCATATCTTTTAAGTGGATAAGATTTCAAACCGGCCAAAGGATATTGGAAATTCCATTGATTGAAAAATAAGTCCATGATAGTTACATTTTACATAAATAAATTAAAACATAAATAAAAAATTACATTTTGAAGAAGGGAGCTGATCAGTTGCTTTGGTCGAAGTAGGGGTGTGCATACTTGATACGTATCGAATGAAATACTCTCTTCATTTCTATTTGTACATCGTTTTTACTAAAAATTGATATTTTAATTGTCATAGTTTCCTTTTTTAGAGTCAAACAATAATAATTTTGACTAATATTTTATGCTGTATTTTTCATCATATATGCAAAAAAAATTGGAATTTATAGTACTCTTTGTATAGTTTTTGAATATCTAAATTTTTTGGTTTAAAATATCGAATTAATGTAATCTAATTTAATTTTAAAAATTAGTCAAACTGACTTTCAAAAAGTGAAACATTACGGGTGTGTTTGGTATGAAGGAAAATATTCTCATGTTTGGTTGGGCTAAAATCTAAATGTTTTGGAAAATGTTTTCCAAATCAACTCATTTTCCTCAAATTTAAGGAAAATGACTTCCCTTCAAAGCTTAAGGAAAACATTTTCCAAAACTCTCTTCCAACTTCAAATTACAATTACTTTTTTGTTGAAAAAATCAATTTATTTTGTACCTACCCTCAAACCAGCCCCCCAACCAACC